ATTGTTTTAAATTTTGTCACACAATGCAAAGTCTTCTATAGCTTACTATACGGTATTTCTCATTGTTGAAGGCCGTACAGTGATCTATAATTGTTTGCATCCTTGTCCGCTGGTCACCGCTGGTGAATAGTTGTCTCATTGGCTATCATAGCACATCTTTTAATCATTTTTTAAAGCAAGAAACAAAGTACCCAAAGTATCCAACAGTTGAATAAGCTGTTGTAAATACGGCGCGAACACAACGCGGGAACGTCACTTATTTCTTATATTGTAACGTAAGACTTTGTGACGTGTCACTTGTATACTTGGGCTTTTCTATAGATCGATTACGTTATTATAACATGCAACGTTTTCTTCCTTAATTCACGTATTCCCGACATTTTGGTGCCGTGCCCAATGGATTTGAATAAGCTGAAATCGATTAGGAAAGCGAACAGAAGTGTAGTTACAAGACATTTACGTAAAATCGACGATTTGAAAAACGAAGCGGAGTTAGCCAGGGTAGATCTTTTAGCAACATTCGAAAGTGTGGAACAAAAGAAGAAACTTTTGGAAGATTTAAATCAACAAATTATAAGTGAAATCGATTCGGAGGATATTGAAGAAGAAATTCTTAATACAGATGAGTATACATTAGACTTAGAAACTAAACTAAAACACTTGCGTATTTTCGTACAGAGTTTAGATAATTCGAATCATCTACTTCTTCCTATCAAACATTGAATTATGAAGCACCGCCTTTTATTCCAACTTCATGCATCGAAAATCAACAACATAGTTATATCGCACCATCACTGTCAACGTTCAACAATCAAACACACCATCTTCCGAAATTAACTTTGCCCAATTTCAGTGGAAATATTCTCGAATGGCAATCTTTCTGGGACTCTTTCGAATCAGCAGTACACATGAATCCAAGTCTACCAGACATTCAGAAATTCAATTATTTGTTTGATTTCTTTTGAAGCTGCAACAAAGGTCAGCGCATTTTCCGTTATAACAATTTTCGGTGTAGACTTGCGACTTGTGAAACGGCGAAAAGCTTGCATAAAAAATTCTGCTGATAAATTCGGTAAAACCTCTAAATGTACTCCTCTTGTTGACGCACATGTAAATAAGCACACATATGCTTTAGTTATATTTTTGTGTTCATCCCTTACATGTAGTGCTCCTGTAAAGTCAATACCGGTCACAGTAAATGGCGGTGCATCTTGAAGGCGTGCTTTGGGTAAAGGCGGCGGATCCGGAGCCTTATACGAAGTTCCATTTACTTTAAGACATGCAGTACATTTACGTAAAATCTTATTAACAAATTGACGAATACACGGTATCCAAAAGTTTTGACGTATATGCGATATGGTACTACTAGTTCCTGACTGTAGTAAATTCTCGTGTGCATCTCGTACTATCAACGTAGTAAGCTGTGTGTTTGCTGGTAACAAAATAGGAAATTTGGCGGACTCGGGAATCGGTGCATTCTCTATCCTTCCTTTACATTGGATAATGTTGTTCTGATCCAGAAATAAATTCAACTGACGAATCCTTGATACATTCTTTGTACGATCTCCTTTTACTAGCGTGTCGTATTCCTCGGGGTAGTTTAATATTTGGCATGACCTAATCCAAAATTGTGCTGACTTCTGTATTTCTTTCACATTACATGGACCAATTGTTCTGTCTTCCTTTGATAATCTACAGTTTTGAATAAAGCGTAATACATAGGCCGTCGTTCGTAATAGTTTCTTGTATGAAGAAAATCTGTCAATTTCCACTAAATCGTGAATTCCTGTCATTCTATTCTCAAGTGTTGGTTGCTGGACATCAATGTTATCAGTCAATGTAGATAATACCGAGTTATCTTCAATCGTATGAACCGGGCGATTTGTTGTATCTATTATCCATGACGGACCATGCCTCCATAGCATGCTTTCTGTATATTGTGTCGCTGTATTTCCGCGTGTAAGTATGTCTGCTGGATTTTGATCTGTCGGACAGTATCGCCATCTATAGGGTCTTGTTAACTGGTTAATTTCAGCTACTCTGTTTGCAATAAATCGTTTAAGTGTTTTTTTCGACATCATCCAATTCAAGACTATTTGAAATTAACTTTTTCCCAATTTCAGTGGAAATATTCTCGAATGGCAATCTTTCTGGGACTCTTTCGAATCAGCAGTACACATGAATCCAAGTCTACCAGACATTCAGAAATTCAATTATTTAAAATCACAACTTGGAGGTGAAGCATCTCATACTATTGATGGGTTCGCATTGACAAACGCTAATTATAAGGAGGCAGTTAACGTATTAAAAGAAAGATACGGACAATCGAGCAAGATTACACAAGCACACATGAAAGCATTGCTAGACATTACACCCGCAAGTATTGATTTAGCTAGTTTACCCGTCTTTCATGGCCATTTAGAAGCATCCGTGCGCGGACTAGAAGCTTTAGGGCAATCACAAGACACTTACGGCACATTACTAGTCCCAATAATTTTGAGCAAGCTTCCCGGAGAAGTAAGGCAACATCTAGCACGAGAACATGGATCAAGTACTTGGACTTTATCGGATTTACGCAAATCTATTCAGAATGAGATCAATATTATCGAAGCAGGTCAGGATTACGGTATCCGACAAAGCTATTCTACCACGCCTACATGTACGTTTCTCGTTGAAACACAATCTTACGGAAAAGAGTTATATACGCCAAGAAGAGTCGATTATGTAAACAGTAACCAACGTGTTCTAACCGCGAGACCATGTATATACTGTCAAGAAATTCACGCACTGGTGAACTGTACACGGATTACAGACACAAACGAACGAATGAATATCGTAAAACGTAGCAATCTATGCTTTAATTGTCTCGGTACGCACCGAGTCAATGAATGTAACTCTAGACATGTATACCGTCATTGCAAGAAAAAACAGCATACTAGCATATGCAATGAATCAATGGTTGATAACAAAAGTACATACATGTATGTCCAAAGTCGAACTTACATGAATCAAATCGCAAATCGTATCGAAAACGAAGAACATGAACACGAACATTCTACTGAATCATCACAGTCCGTCAATGTAAACATTGTAAATAATAGAGAGGGACAACAAGACGACAACACAAAAATACTTGACTCATCACATAAGGAACAAACCAGCGTATTATTGAAAACCGCAGTTGCACCCGTTTGGTCCGATAGTACAGGTATCGACGCAAATATACTTTTTGATGAAGGTCAAAACGCTCATTCATTACAGAAGATCTAGCAATGAAACTAGAACTTAAAGTGGATGCTTCGGAGACACAGTAAATAATATGAGAAACCTAGGTAAGGGTACATTACTAATCGAGACGGAGACGAACCAGAAAATACCAATTGATGTACTTGTCGTACCGAAAATAGCTGTTCCGTTAAAGAATCATATCCGAAAATTAAACTTGAAAAATAAGTACATGTATCTACAAGGATTAAATCTTGCTCATCCGATCACAGACGTAAGTATATTCGAAATTGACGTTTTGATAGGAGCAGATTACTATTGGCAGTTTGTTGGAAACACAATCATCCGCGGAGATGGACCTACCGCAGTTAAATTAAATCTAGGCTACCTTCTATCCGGTCCGTTTAAGGAAACATGTATCGTGAAAGCTTATGACAATACCATAAAGAACAAAGAGCATAGAAGTTTCGTTGGGAGAACTGATAACAAGAGATGTAACAGAAAAATAAAACATTATATTCCGCACCACCGAGTTCGAAAAAAGAAGATGCGTGTGAACAAAGTACCGTCCAATATGAATCTACCAGCAAATCGAGATGATGAAGAACAGATGTGAACTGTTAACAACCCCTTTTTATATGAACTGTAAATCGTTATTAAGTGTTAAAGTATTAAATTTTAATACCACTATACAGAGACAGTAATTATTTTCTATGCATAGAGACTTTAATTTTCAAGCGTAAATATTTTTGATTTGAAATTTCTTATTCACATTTGAGATTGTATTGTATATAGAATTTTATCTTTTTGCGGCCCCCAGAATGATGTAAATACGGCGCGAACACAACGCGGGAACGTCACTTATTTCTTATATTGTAACGTAAGACTTTGTGACGTGTCACTTGTATACTTGGGCTTTTCTATAGATCGATTACATTATTATAACATGCAACGTTTTCTTCCTTAATTCACGTATTCCCGACATAAGCACTACACAGGGAACCTATTATTTACGCATTAATGAATACAAAGAAAATTGGAATCGCCAAATATACTAGACAGTACAACAGATAAGATCAACTGCAAGCACCCATTAAACCACAAAAACAGACATATAAACCAATAAAACAACAATCCGTTGTCCACATAGCGTGACTGTGTACAGGCAAAAAAGATAAAACGCGAAACAGATAAGTACCGATTATCAGGTTGTCTGCATATTGATTTCGTAAAATATCACCTGTGAGTCACAATATGAAGCTTTTTGTCGAGTGAGCGCAGCGAACGAGATCAAAAAGGCTTCATATTGTGTCGAGCAGCTGATATTTTACAATATGAATATGAATACAACCAGATAATCGATTTATCGGGTTGTATTTGCGTATTTTGCATGATATAAACAAGTGTTTTCTTTGTTTCATAAGCTAACCGGAAGACGACGTGATAAGTTCGGGTCAAACGTTTCAACGTCAGTTCATATATAATGAAGTCGGTGATATGTCCGAGTCAAAGTGATTAAGGCCGGGTCAACGTATTTGACGTCACAAAGCCGTGATATGCAATTTTATTAAGAGCTGAGCAGAGTGATACAGACAGAGGGACGACCGATAATACACGTAAGTTAATACTGATTCTCTGTTAAAGTAATCACAACCAGTATATAACATCCCTAGACATGCTGTAGTACAAGGCTCATAAAAGGAGTATATATCTATGATAACGTTTTATGCAACGTGAGAAGGTGATTTGCTAAAAGAGTTAAAATGAATACAAAATTGAATAAAATTATAATTTATTTTAATCGCAATGATAATGTATTTTTTTATTTTGCACGTCCGCACATTTTGCATTTTTAGATAGAAAGAAAAACAGACGTTTAGAACGAGAGTTAGCCGCGCAAAAACAAAATCAAAATGACACACGGAATTCACTCATTCTAATTATAACAACATTTCTTCTGTTTTGTTTTACTTTTAAATTTCGAAAACGAAGACGTCATCATTAGAACAATTTGTAACAAGTAGTGTAGATGATGTTTTGTCTATATTTATAGCATGGGGAGCAACAATGCCATTATCTTTCGACAGAATTGTTCTACTCGTTTTCCCGTCTTCTGATAAAACTACTATCTTGTCATTTCTTTTGCATGCAACATATATGAATCCATTTTTGTCAACTGTTATCCCAAATGGTTCGCAAATGTCTTCGTGTTTGTGTTTCCATAACAAGACTCCGGCCTTGGTGTAACAAGAGACGAGATTATCTTTCCAATCTGTACAGACGATACTATCTTTACATAGCGCAATACGAATAGTACGATCCGCTGGTACGTTTACCTTGGATAAAATATTCCCTTCGAGATCCAGTATAAACACTGATTTTGTTCTTCCTAGTAATTTCACAATTAATATTTCCCCATTGCTGTCAATGCCAAAACAGTTATCGTCCACTAAAATGGTCTTTGTGATCCTTTTCGTTGATATGTCAAGCAGGGAAATTTGATTTAATCGGTGAAATGTCACAGCTATCAAATTGCCTTTAATGTAACAAATGTCATTTGGATCGCCTTCGAAAATGAGAACTGTTTCACTATATATTTCATATCTCGAAAACAACAGCAATTGTTTATTGGCTTTATCAAGAACAAGAATATTACCATTAGGTAAAATTTGACAACCTAAAATCCGTGGAGTGTTATTTTGTTTCGGTATTATCAGTATTTTTGTCAGTGTTGGTGTAATTTCATCAATTGTTAATGTTTGTGGAAAAGATATATTCGCTTGACATTCGCCGGAAGTTTTGAGTTCGAAAGTAGATGGCGATGAGTGTGTTATAGCAGTGCCAAATGTCTTAATGGTATTCGCAAAATCTTTTAAATCAGCTGACAATTTCGTCCCCAAGCGAATCTCTTCCAATTGACCTTTTCTCTGAAAATTGAGAAGAAATTCAACTTCTTCTGATGCCAACTTCTCTAAATATTGCAAACCTAAGTAAATCTGCAGGTCTGCTGCATACAGGGTCATTTTTGAAAAATCATTTTGCAAATGTTGAATAGATTTCTTCTTATCTTCCATTTCACTAGTAAGATTGTCATATTTTATTCTTATCTTATTAAATTCCACTGATAAATCATCCACTAATTTCTTCTCTATGTCATCTAAATGCTTATTTATTGAAGCTCGCAGATTTCGTATTTCTTGAAGGGATTCTGTTTTGTTTTCCTCGAGGGTGGCTGTTCTAAAGTTTAAATACTTTACCACTGTTTCAAAATTTTCATGTAAATTATTAAACTCCTTGTCCAAATTTGAAACTTTAGCGGAAGTTTTGATATTCTTTAAAACTTCAACCAATGGGTCTAAATCCCTGCAATCTTTATGTTTGTCCTTTATGCACTTAACGCAGCACGGGTCGCCGTGGAATTTACAATAAAAGTCATACTTTGCATCATGCTTTTCACAACGACTTTTTATTTCAACAATAAACGAAGGCAGTTTTTTGTAATTATCCAGGGCTAAAGTTTGATGCCTTTTAGAAGCTTTACTTTTGATGTGGTGTCTTTCGCAGTCTTTGCAAAGAAAAGTCTCACAATCCGTACACCAAACAACTGCAACATTGGACACATCTTCCTCTTCACAAAGATGACAAGAAGGGTTCACAGATGCCATACTCATAAGGTTAGACCTACAATACGGAGAAATTAGTAAGCTCCATCCACTTTACCATCTAAAATATGTTTGCCTTGCACGCTGCAAAAGATTTTTCTTTGCAAACTTAAGTTTTTGTGCATTCGAAATCTGTTCAAAGTTCGTCTATTGCTCATAATAAACAAGTCTTGTGAAATATTTCAACTATGGCATATTTATGACCCTTGATAATGAAATAGAACTTATTGAAAATTTTACAATATATCATGTGGAGCAAGAATTGCTTACTGTTCTGGGCCACCCGAGTTCATCCCCGGTTTTGTGTGGGGTTCGTGCTGCTCAGTCTTCAGTTTTCTATGAAGTGTTTTTTTGGAAATGTTCGTCTTTTGTCGTTTTTCACATTTTGGCATGGCTTTGTAAGTAAGTTTTTCTTCGACTTATGAGTTTTTAAATGTCCCTTTGGTATCTTCCGTCTTTTTTACTTTTTCCAAAATATCATTTACTAATTATTACATGTAAGCCAAATGTATTCTCCTACTCTATTCGATATGGAATCTCAAAAATTGTCTGTTCGTAAATTTATATATTCTAATTTTTAGTTTTACTTATTTTAAATGCAAGGTATTTCAGTTCTTTTTTTTCTCTGGTTACATGCAGCAAAGAGGGAGTATGATTTTTGAAATATTTTCAGGAACAACACATTTTGGAAGTAAAAAGCAAGGTTAACACTTAACAAGCATACGTTGTTTGCAGAAATGTTTATATTGGATTGATACAGAAAAAAATCAGGTCTATCTTGTCTCGCTTACGAGTGGAAGTTATAATCATAGAGGAATTAAATTAAATTGCACAGTCATATCACAAGTACATATTTAAAGCAATTTTAAAAGCGATATCACAGTTGTATATTTCAATTCGTTTGCAACAATATACCACAGATTAATATCTTAATTAGATTTGGAAATATGGATGTGGACAATTAATATATAATCTCTCTTATTTGTAGTGACTACACTATCAGGATTTTCTGATCTTTAAGTGAAAAGACCATTTGTTACTATTCTAGTTTTCATCCTCTCCTATGCCTGTTCCGTACCTTTTGCACTTAATATATTGCTTTGGATTTATATTCGGGAACATTTAGTAGTATATGACATAGGTCTATTTGAACACAATTTTGATGAACTCGAAAACCGATCATTTTTATTAAAAAATCAAACATATCATTGAAATTCTTAACACATTATGCAACTAAAAAAAATGAATGCTCAAAGCCACATATTTCACTGCCAAGGATGTATAAGAACTGAAACAATTTTATTTTAACTCATTAATTTTATGACACAGTTTATAAATTAATGAATCATCAAGAAAATATATCAGTCTTGTCTTGGGTGTAAAGTTGTTTTTTTGTACAGGAACCCTGTTTATTTTCGTGGTTTTAGACTATTCCCTTTACAATGCAACCTTATCTCTGTGAAAGTGAAAGAAAATTGGTTCAACAAGCATTGACATACCTGGATAATTATGACTGTCATTTTGGTCGGTTGGTGGTTCAAGATGATCTGGTCATTTCTTATTGGAGAAATTGCACCTGGAATGTATAAATTAAACAAAATAGTTTTGACTTTTTATGTTTAAAGTGTTATTGCAATGACAGTTGCAAGAACAATTTCTAATGTATTGCTTTTAATAGTTGTCTCTCATCAGGGTCTCTCATCATCCTTTGATTATTCCCAGTGTTAAAGATATTTTCCAATATTTAGTTTCTTGAATTTAACGTGTTCTTGGTCACAACTTTATCGGGGGCGTAGTTTTTTTGTGTGTTAATTATCTTTAAGGATAATAGGGGTCCATTTCTGAAGCACCTGTGTCTGTTGCTTCTTATGTTTGTTTGACAGTCATGGAATTGAAAATACATACCCGTTTTGTAAAATAATAATACAACGTTACAGTGATAACGTACACCAAGTTTGATATATGAATTGTAGAAAAATTCCACAAAACTATTGTGTTCAAGTCGATAAGTGACACTTTATTATTTTGTTTGTTATTTATTGTATTAGATTAATACCAGTGCATACGATATCTGGGAAGGATTGAGTACATTATGGTAGTATTTTTGTGTATCATGATTCCACACTTCTTTACACATTTTGTGAGTGAGCTATTTCTACAGGTAACCATACATTTGCGTAATACATGTACATGCATGTACAAGCAACCAAAAACAAAATTCGATAATTTAGTACATTTTACAAAAAAAATATAATAAAACATACAGACATGATCAATTAATACAAGAAGAAATATACATACTTTATAGATAAGACATCACCCTTTCCCATAATGTAATCAGGAAGTATTAAAAGATCAAGGTCACATGTGTGCCTTCGACCAAGCAACATTTAAATATCTACCTTTATGACACGTAAGCAAATAAAAATAGTAACACTTATTTTTGACCCCTAAATTCAGTAGTATATTGAACCTATCAAGAGAGTAGTGTCGAAAAAAGAAATAGCTCCTCTCCAGTTTTCTTTGTAATACAAATAATATCAAAGAGGCGACACACATGCATTGTTAAGACTGTTTGACTATAAGATATATATGTGTATAACCGGGAACTCCTTATACAGGAAAAAAGCTAAAATATCAACGCTATTTATTTGAAGGAAAGTGATACGGTGGTTATAACGGATATGAATATAAGTATATGTGGTATGATTGTCAATGTGACTACTATTTATAAGTACGGTTGTGGCATGCTAATAAAATCTTGCCCTATGGCATTGATATGAACTTACTTTTTTTCTCCATAATGACCTACTAATACGCTATAGTCCAAAATGCAGATCTCAGATATTAAAAAAAGCATGTGAGGAGCATTATAACTAGAAGGGACCTACAAGAAATAGCCAAATCCGATAGGTATTACTAGTATGTTGAAAAGAATTTGACTATTTCATTTGTTAACCGCGTGGCTAGATATGGTATAGACAATTGTATTATGCAATTATGATTGTCCCTTATAGTTCAAACAACAAGATTGGGCGTTTCATGTGAAATATCAAAGCTAGTAAATTGCCTTAGATGTAATAAATGTCGTTTGATTCGTTTTCGAAACCGGTCACATTTTAAATCCCGTTTTTCAAAAACAAAAGCAAACTTTTGCTGACTAAATCTAGTATAAGAATTCTACCATCAGGTAAAATCTGATAGCCTTACATTTATATACAGGTACATCAATCGTTAATCTAGGTTGACCTGATAGCTTAGCCTGATATTCACCAGAAGTTTTGAGTTGAAAAATAGATTGCGATGGATGAGCAAACGCAGTTTCAAATGTCCCTATGTTATTAGCATCATAGGACAATATCGTTTTCAAGTGAATCTCTTCCAATTAACATTTCCATCCAATTTCTGTTGATGCAAAATTTTCAAAATACTGCAAACTTACTTAAATGTTCAGGTTTGTAGCATACATTGTCAGTTTTCAATATATTCATTTTTATTCGAAAAACTTGCCACATTCTACTTTTATCTTATCTAATCCTGAAAACTAATCACCTATTATGTTTCTTCTGTTTCATCAAAATGTGTATTTATTGAGGCACGCATTTTTCGAATTTCTTGAAAGTTGGTTTTTCTATACATTTGTCACTTTTTTTTAAAAATTTTCTAGTAAAATATCAAAAACAGGGGGATAAACCAATAATGTATTTGAAATAGTCATTGTCATTAAAGCACTGATATGAAAAAGAAGTAAAATATTAGAAATTGATATGACACACGATATATTCATTTTACTAAACCTGTAATTAATTGTGAAATAGGTATTCCTACCTCGTTGTTGACTTCCATATGCATATATTTATCCTTCTGTACATGGAGCAACTCATATAGTAACTGTTATTTATATATTTTTTTAAAGAAAGAGGTTCAATTGGTGGTAACTTAACATGACAATGAGGATGTTTATGAGAGGCGAAAAATCCCAAGGGACATTACTATTATTTATATATTTTTTAAAGAATGAGGTTCCATTGGTGGTAACTTTAAATGACAATGAGGATGTTTAAGAAAGTCGAAAGATACCAAAGGTACATTCAAGCTCATAAGACGAAAATAAACTGACAACGCCAGGGTTAAAAAAGAAAAAGACCAACAGACAAACTGACAAACAACAGTACACAAAACACAACATAAAAAACTAAAGACTGAGCAACACGAACCCAAACAAAAACTGGGGGTGATCTCAGGTGCTCCGAAAAGGTAAAAAGATCCTGCTCCACATGGGGCACCCGTCCTGTTGGTCATGTTTGTACAAACCCGGTGATAAGTCTAATTTGGTAAGTCACATTCGGGATAAAGGGGACGGAATTGTAGTTACGACAATTGGAACATATCCGTTGTCATCTATGAAACAGAACGGTCAAGCAACTCGGATGGCGTCCGTAGGGATAATTTCAACTTCACCACTTGGAACTCTTGGTTTAATAGCCTCCAATCCTCTATCAAGGAAATCATGATTGGAAATACAAACCCTGGAATATCGTATCAACTGGGAGATATATACTCTGTATGCAGGCGCTGTTGGAATGTTGCTACTTAGAAACGGAAAGTTCACAATTGGGAAGCTGAAATCATCTCTTTTGTCGTAAAGTTTTGTTTTCAACCGACCCTCGTTGTCAATTTCTAAATGTAAGTCAAGATATTAGGCAGACTAAACTGTATCTGTTGTATCCTTTATCTCAAGTTCGATTGGATAGATGCGTTCAACATAGTCACCAAATTTTGAATTATTTAGTGAAAGAACACCATCTATATAGCGGAAAGTGAAGTTAAAGGTTACTGCTAACTTCTTTTCTTTCTTCCTAAGAAGTTCACGTATGAAGCCAGCCTAGTATGAATAAATTATCTAGTCGGCAAGAAGAGAATCACAGTTGGTTCCCATGGGGATGCCGATTGTTTGTTGAAAAACACGTCCTCCAAACGTAACAAATATGTTGTCAATCAAGAAATCAAGCATCTTAAAAATGTCATTTTCAGAGAAAATGGTGTTTGTTTATTTCCGAATATAGTTCATTTTTTGGTGTAACGAAAGTGAAATGTCTATGCATTTTAAGAGAAATAAAATAAAACAGGGCATTGTGAAATGAGCTCATAGGTAAACTTGTTAGAACTATAGATTACCTTTATTTACAAAAGGAAACAGTTATACTTAATAAGGTAAGTCAAGTTTGTAATTAGAATATTTAAAAACAAATGACTTAGAATCAGATCAAGAAGAAATATACATACTGTGTACGGTAGAAATCGTCTTTTTTCCATAATCTTATCAGTAAAACAGAATCACATAGTTCACAAGATATCATTAAGTTATTTTTGTAAATGTTAAATCTATAAACGGTGTGACAATATCAATTTCCAACCTGGTTTTTTACCCTAAACTTGAAGAGCACATTGAACTAAATTTGATTTATTAACTGATGCTTGTTAAATATTCAGTGTCAAATATTCTATTCATACTTAGATCGATAGACTTTATGAATGTGAATGACCTATAATATTTAAAATACATGTACGCAGGGACGATTGAGAGAAATCATACAAACAATGTTAAGAGTCTGTATATATGTCCATAATGGTCGAAAGTGCGCTTATGATATTTTACTGTTCAGTAGTCGCACTTAGGCTTGTTTTTTGGACTTTTGGTCGGCAATTATATTTTCTATATAAGCAAAAATTTAAAATTAACTTCGAACTGACAATTTAAAATTTGTTTTACTTCTTGTCTTCATTTTAATAATAATTTTCTCATATAACAGTTTAGATAAATTCCCAAAATTGTAATCTTATACGAGTCAAATGTCATTTCGGTGAAACTAAATTAAAAAATTGTGTAATACCTGATGTTTTACGTTTCCTTCAATATTTCTTTGTTTTCGAGCAACATTTAGTTTACTGTCCATATCCGTATACTGAAAATACCAACGTTAAATACATTAAGGTCAAGGAACAGTAAATTTGCTATGTCACAGATTCTAGTAACATTTTGAATACGTCTTTGGCTCTTTGAATTATATCTGAAATCGAAAACATAATGCCTTTATCCCTTTTATTTTCTGATATATTACTGATTGAATTCTTTCAAAATAGGTGAACATTTGTATAGGTAGCATATACAATCGGCGAAAAACATTTTAAAATTTTCTTAAAAATCATAAAATTTCCAATTTTTGATACATAGATATTCTTAGAAAATAAAACCAATAAATACATTATTTTTTTCGGTTTTCAATTAAAGTTCAATGAGGAAAATGTGTATGCAATATTTTACCAGAATCTGTGACATAACCCATTTACTGTAACTTGACCATAATAATATAATACAAGTAGACAGGAAAAACGAAATAAAAATAAAAAAAAACCCCGTTAATTTAAAACCTAATTTAATCTGTTTACCGATCGCGAGTCCCTGTCAGGAACAAATCGTAAAATATTTTTCAAATACATATGTACAACAAAAGCAGTAACTTTGGATAGAGTGATAGAAATTAGAACTAGCAATGAACAAAGGAAAATCGTTTCGTCAGACCTCATACTGAATCGTGAAAGAATTGTTGAATTATTTCTCTAACGTGCAGAGAGCTTGGCCCAAATCACAACGAGAGTTAACGTTCTTATTCCAACCGGTCATGACTGCGTCTTCATACAACTATTACAATCAAACAGATGCACTCTGCGCATGGGTCTTACTACCAAAGTAGTTATATTTCCATACCCCAAGTCCAGGAGAAAAAGAGGTATACAGATTTGGATTTATTCTAGCCTTCTATATATATATATATATCAGTTGTTCAACCTGCAAGTCAAATGCGTTTTGTTAAAATATACCTTTTCACTTTTTTGGTCTTTTGGAAAATGTTGTTTGTGCTGTATTTAGACCCCTCTACCAAGAAATTTGTTTTGTATGCACACGTATAAAAATTGCGGTTTTTATCCAACGCAATCATAGGTTTGAACGTTGTTTTCAATTTCGACTTGTATATATATATAGGTTTGAACGTTGTTCTCAATTTAGACTGGTATATATATATATATATGTAAATTATATGGCCTTCCAAATACCGTTTCGATATCTAACATCACTGAAGAGACATTAATTGTCGAAATCCGCATATGGTGTATAAATTTTTGCACCTCATGTTTGCGGTATACCATCTTTTTCGCAAGTTTATTGCTTTCTGTTTGGTAATAAATTAATAATAAGATCTATTTTGTTACGCTTGTGATCCGTTTATTTGGCAATCGCCAATGGCAGTCAGCAGGGTTTAAGAACATCAGTTGTTCGACCTGCTAGTCAAATGCGTTTTGTTAAAATATA